ATGGATTTGTTTTAGTAGAGGTTTAACGGCGCTCGCAACTGCATAAGGTATGTACAGATGCCCAACACCAAAAACGAAGGGATCGTTCGTTACCTCAGATTTAAGTTACTGATCCCAATTTCTTTTCTTTTTTTTAAAATCTCCGCAAGTTCACAGAAATAAAAATAACTAATAATATCAGTCACAATTTGATAGATGTACCAGGGTAAATGTACTGACTTTTAAAAATCATAGTACAGTAGAAATACTCGTAATTCCTCTCATGACCCCTTTAGGGTCAGCAACCTAAGCCTATTTTCCGTCGGAAAGTTATTTTGGGAGCATTGTTGCTGTTATGTATAGAACGTATCGTATAGAGCTGACCTGGGAAATAAGCTACATAACCACCAGGCACTTGACACTCGCGAGTATGAATAGTTCCCTTACTCTTCTAAAAGACTACTAAGCATGTCATGTGCCCGATGCAATAGAATGTATCTTTGCATCCAGGGTGAAAACATATTGAGGGTTTTTATACTATTATATTTAACAGCTCTATACGTGTGCCACTTTTGGTGATACAGTAAAGCTAATCCAGAGTGTGGCGAAATGCACTGTGACACAGCCCATGCTCTCTCTCTCACTCTCTCTCTCTCTCTCTCTCTCTCTCTCTCTCTCTCTCTCTCTCTCTCTCTCTCTCTCTCTCTCACTCTCTCTCTCTCTCTCTCAGAATGTCTCTCTCACCCCTTTAAGCAGTGGCGGAGCGTAGTAGAGGGTTTAAGGGCTTGAGCCCCACCCACTCACATCCCACCCCCAACTCTTTCCCTCCGTAAATGAAAGTTTCTTCTATAAACGAGGTACAGTGGAACTCGGATTCAACGAGGTCGCCGGGCCTGACCTAAAATCTCGTTGAATCCGAGAATTCGTTATAGCAAATATGAAGTTTTATGTAGATAATTAGAGGCACTGAGCAAGTAATGTATTTAAAATAAGTCACAAGTAATGCCTGAAATGCCTGCATATTATGAGCTGTGTTTAAAAAAAAAAAAAAGACCGATTCGTTCTAATGCACACTACTGAGTCATCTCGATAGTTTACCAAAAAATTGTGTTGCTGTGCAGAGCCTAGCATACGGCAACTTTTGATTCCATAGACCAGCGCACAATTCATTAAGCAGATCTACGTCAAGACTAGCTTATCATTGCAATAGCGATCAGTTGCCGATGGAAAAAAGACTGACGCGTTTGTATCTGCGATGTTTAACGTCCGGACCGCTAGTGCCCCCCTCCCTCCCGACACGCACACACAGCCACACGTGTGCAGGCTGCCCATCCGACTCCGACACACGCCAGAGCTGACACGTGCGCGTGTCAACAACGCATGTGTTGGTATGGAAAAAGGCCGCTGATTGGTCGCATGCGATCGGCTAAGTGAATAATAGTTCACGATGTAGGTTCAAGGGATGGTTTTCGTAAATAGATAAAGTTCGTTCAGGAAGAAAAATGAGCGAAACCACGTCTGCTGAGGCTGTTCACCCTGGAAGCGACCTCGTTGAATCCGAGCTCGCTGGTTTAAGTGCTCGTTGAATCCGGGTTATTTTTATTGACTTTAAAGAAGAAAAAAAACGGGGAATCTATCTCATCTCGTTGAATCCGAGCTCGTTAAATTCGAGTTCCACTGTAATCAGTTGAAACAGTTAGAACTGTTTCAGATTCTTCCGCCTCCGCCTTTAGTTGCATGAGGTGAACACACACGCTTGCTCGTTTATCCAATCACTCTAGTCAGCGCTTACAACGATAGTAACCTAACAGCCAATCAAATGTGTTTAGGGCTCAGAAAAGGATGAGCCCATTCCCACCGGCCTTTCTTAATGTAACTCTTCTTGAAAAAAAGGTACATGTACATGTAGAGTGTAAACATGGTAGGCCAACGACATTCAGTTGGTGTTAATCATTCCTGTCATCGAAAGGGGGCCAAGCTATTAATATTATTATTATACAGTATTTGTGAAAGTTGGTCACTTTGGTCTCCTAAAACTTCGAAAAACACAACACTGTAAATCGAGAAAATTTAAAGGGATTTTTTAAAAACAACAAATTTACACCCAAGTTCAAGAAGCCTCATCATTTTAAAATCTTTAAGCAGAAGTTGGCAGGTAAACAAAAGGCATGAGGGCTCTCGTGGCCTAGAGGTTAAGGTGTTCGCCTCTCATTCAAAAGTCCCAGGTTCGAATCTGGCTAGCGACCGAAAAATGTTCTCTAAAATTGTCCCCTTTCACCTCCTTTCCTGCTCTCTAGCAATGTTTTGTTGTCTGATTACGTCTCCACTTTCTGCCCCCATCCTCTCACCTCCTTTGCCCCCTCTTCTGGGCTCCAGACTCTTTCTGCAGCCTTTCAACTGCTTCTCTTTGGCTCCTTCTTACTGCTCCTTCAGCCACACCCCTAATCTTCTGGATAGCAAAGATCTACACCTGGCCTTCTCGGACAAGGGCGAAAAATCTCGGAGGTCCCGTGTGCAAGTTACACACGTTAAAGATCCCTTGGTGGTACAATACAACAATATTATACAGAAGGATGGCTGAACTGGAATACACAACAGCTGAAGGCAATACTTTTCCTCCATATACGTATGTACGAGGGGACACTATCACAGGAACACATCCTGCAGGTGTGTACTGTTTAGCTACCTCCCTTATAATTCATCACTCCCATTGTCCCCGTTGGCCAAATTTCTGGATGGATTGACAGCCAAACAGTTGACAACCACGAGTTGGGGTTGACAAATTAAATGTTAGGCATCGTGGTGAAATCAGGCGCTCGTCAAGATAACGAAACCTGAGGAAAAGGCATTTTTCGGACAGTTTGGCAATTTTTATTTTTTTGGTTCAACCCCTTATACATGTCGATATATATAAAAACACATTCCAGGTGAATATTACTGAAAAACGTTGATTAAGGGCACAAATTATGTCATTTTTTTTTTTCAAGGACTCTTTAGCTATTGGAGTCATCAAACTTTGGCAGCCATTTTCTCGCTAATGTCACTATTGAAATTGATGGACCTCACCCCCTTCAATCACAAATATATTGACTTCTATTCAAGAAAGATGGGTATTTTTTTCATAGGAGCAAAGCAAATAAAAAGCTCTCTGATAATACCAATGACTCTACATGCCCAAAAATTGATGACAGCCTGATTCCATCGCGTTGTGACACAAATTCGTCTGCAGTTCAACATAATCACCTGGACCATAAAACTAAACACAAGGCACATAACATTTTTTTTCCACTGATCATAATACAGTAGTCTTGTCTTAGCCTAAGAATAAGATCCTGCATTTTCCTTGCTCCCGAGCACCGGGGTCTCAGGCGGTGACAATGTTGAACTTCGGATAAATTAGTGTCACGGGATCTTAGCCAACTTCAACACACCAAGGGAAGAATGTACAGTGTCCCATTTTATGGCCAACAGCTGGTAAAATGGTCTCCCTTCGCTCTGAAAAGAACAGACATGACCCCTGGGTGGGTTTATGACATAGGGTGAGAAAAGAGTGGTCAACCTTGATGATCAATCACAGCGGCATGAGGCACGCCGTTTTCACTTATTATCCTAAATAGTGAGTCTCAAGATCTACACTTATCCAGTTGCTCCTCTCCTTTGCCTGTACAAAATTTATAGCTTTACATCTCTGACCGAGTTCCCCAGCCTTTGCCGCTACACACCATTATGTAGTGACCACACAGATTAAAATTCAAAGTTTGTCTTGCAAATTCGGGAGCAGAGACAACTGCTGCAATGGAAAGGGAAAAGCTCACAGATGGATGTGTGATCTCCACTGGAGCGAACGTGTAGGCCCTACCCACCCAGCGAGTGATGTAGGGTTAGGTGGACAACTCAGATGCGAGTGTGATGTTTGGGGGAAAAAATGCCCGTCCGGGGCAAACATTGTACCATTTCATCAAGTTTAACAACACTTATGTGTTCAGATTCACGAGAGTGGCTGATCTTTGACGCAACGGGCAGTTCAATGATTTCAACTTTTCACTCTTGGTTGATTGGCTGTGTCTGCCCCGGTTTTTGTTCCGTAAACTATGATCTGAAATACCGGATCTTAGCACACTAATTTTAGTATTGTAGTAAAAATACTGTGTGTGTGTGAGTGTGTGTGAGTGTGTGTGTGTGTGTGTGTGTGTGTGTGTGTGTGTGTGTGTGTGTGTGTGTGTGTGTGTGTGTGTGAGAGAGAGAGAAAGAGAGAGAGAGAGAGAGAGAGAGAGAGAGAGAGAGAGAGAGAGAGAGAGAGAGAGAGAGAGAGAGAGCAGAGAGAGCAGAGAGAAAGAGATTATGTTGTATTCCTAAGTACAGTAAAACTACTGCATTTTGCCATCTTTACTCTTTAAAAAATGAACACGCAACGTGAACAAACTAAAATTCACTATTTTTTTCAAGTAAACGTTTTTAACAAAAATTACACTTTGTACTTCTACGTTTTAGACAGCTTTTGAAGAGTAATAATAATAACTGGAACAGCCAAGACTAAGTTTTCAGCCAAGAATGTTATCTCAAGATTTTACAGTATTACTCATGGTCTTGCCGTGCGCCATACTCTTCAGCCTTGAGGGGAGGGGAAGCAACAACCGATGTGGTAATAGCATTGTGATGTCAAACACCCCTGCCCCTCGCACTCTTCTTATCATTTTCATTGGACGGCCGTACTATGTGTGCCTACTGCACACTTGAACAGCTCTACATAATTGCATTTTGGCATTAAGTACCACTCAAAAATAAATATTTACATTAGAGTTAAAACTCAACATTGAATTTAACAAATGTTATAAAAGAAGAGGTACTGGGACCTGAGAAAAAGATCGACTTAACCAAGGATCAACTAAAGCGACTTCAACACAAGAGTAATACAAAAACACATGACTTAAACTTTTGAGGAGAAAATAGCTTGAACTGTCTCTGTTCAACATTTTTGTTATAGTCTGATAGTCCTTAAATGAAAACATGAACACCTAAAATTCAATCAACTCATTTATTCAAGAGTAACACATTCTTTATCCAACCAGACCATTATTTATTTCCATAAACAAAATTTCAAGAGTTGCTCCAGCCTGAACCTACAATCAAACAACACCCAGGCCCCCACCCAAATCTATAAATATCAGGACTCAACCATCACATGCTGCATTCTTTCTCACATTCACAAAACAACAAAGTTCAATCATCTACACACATGAGAAACCAAATACTCATCCACACACCATGCTAACATGATAGTTTCAGGGATGTACACATGATACAGGCACACTATACGTCAACAACTAGAACAAAGCATCAAGAATCTGAGGGAAATCCAAAGACTCTCACAATTCCTGCATCTCTGTCCCTTCTGTCATCACACGCGTAAGCTAACAAATATCTCTTGGGATGCCAAGCCACCGTGAATGTAGGGGAATCACATGTTATCTGATGAAGTTTTTCTCCTGAGGAAAAACAGAATGCAAGAGAACTTGTGTTAAAACAGCACCTGGACATAGAAGGCTGGTACACGCTCCCACAGACTGACTTTAGAAATAAAGTAAAAAAGTACACCTCCAGTCTGTGGGAGAGCCACTGGGAAAACCAGAAAATAGTAAGAAGAACATTGACAGTCTTCAACAAATCAACTCCAGGAAAATCTTAAGACAGCCCATCCAGAATAGACCTTGTTAATGTGGCAGTTAAAATGAGAGAACAAAAAATTATAGCTTATTCACTTTCCTTTCTTCGAGTTAAAAAACATTTTAGCTCTATCAATTTGCCAACAATACCCACAAAACCTGTGTGGCACCCCTGTAGGCCAGCCACTAAACTCAAATAATTTATCCAAAAATCTTGATTCAGTAACAAAAAAGTTTATTTGGGCCCTATATTAAGCATACACAGGATCACTACAAAGAATGATTCACAGTAACCTACTCAAGACTACTCATTTTGAGACAGCGACAACACCCTGCCTCCACATTTCAGCATGTAACTGTCAAACTGTCTTGACACACCCCCACCCCCTCCATCCCCCCCCCCCACCTTGTGAGTCTAAAAAAAGTGCTCACTTGTTTGTAGGACTGTGTTTCAAAGACCTGGATTAAAGTATGATGTTGACTTTTTAACATTTTTGGTGCATTCTGTAAATCACCTAATATTTTTTACCCACTACTGGCTAACATCAAACAAAACTTGTCGGAACCTTATTTAGCATTGGCCTTCATTAATTTTTCTTTTTTAAATTCTTTTGGTCATTCACCTTCAAGTCAGGTTAAAGACAAGAAAGTATGGAAACCCATTAGGTCACCAACTCATAAACAATTATTAAGTTCTTGAGTTATTTTACATTAGAATAAGTAATGGTTCAAATTCAAATGAGTATAAAAGAGAAATAAAACAGCTGAAAAAAGAATGCCCTGCAGACTGTTAATTTCCATGTAAATTGCTGTCAAGTTTACAGTGCCCACTCACACAAGAACTGCTTTGTCTTATGAGACCTTACAAAGTTTATCTCGGATAAAAAAAGAGAGACTAGCACATTCACATTTAGGAGTATAACACTATGCTCCACTTGGGATATTAACCCTTTCGTTGCCAGGGGGTATGCATTCCTATTGTTGCACTGATTTTCAGCTGAGCTCATTACCGAGGACAGCAGTCTCATGTCTCAGTGTTAATGAATACGCAGTGTAGATCAATCGCACTTGTGATAAATTTCGGACCCCGGGTCTTCGATCATGTCACTTTTCTCACTTCTCTCATTCCCTTTTTCCTACCATCCTAATCATAATTTCAAATAACTTGCAATTCTAAGTCAAAAAATGATTCTTTTCTCCTTTTTAAAGTCATTTTGGTGTTTACATCTTACAAGAACATGTGGCTACCCGCGAGCCAAGATCTGTGTTTATCAATCGCTTGCAAGCCTAGGAGTAATTATATTCTAGAAAATTTAGTACCTATGTGCACGTCTTTTATTCCCAAACACAAATCCACAAAATGCTGGTGGCTAAAACTCTGTACAGAAGAATTAGAGCCAGAGTATTAGCATGCCATACATGTAACGTTATATAGGCAACCAGGAGCGGCAAATTTTAACAACTTCTGTGACGACCATGTTACAACAAGAAGCTAAAAGTAACTCATTTTCATGACGTAAAGGTGCATCATAAGGCAACAAAGGGGTTAAAGTAAGTAAACAACTAAAACTCAAGTAAAGTAGACCTAACTGCAATGGTTCCTACCATTTGTCAAATAACAAGTAGCCTAAGGATCTAAGGAGTAGCCCACACAAGACAATGTCACAGTTCAAGGCCCTGAGTCAGTAAGAGTCCCAAGAGCTAAAATACTTCTGTTTGCCATAATATATTCAACCAAACTACCATTCTAGAAAAATTTATTTTCAAAGTTAACAGTAGTACACCATCTGTAGAAAAAGCACTGTCATTACAATTCAAAAACATTACTTTACCTGTTTCCACTTCTCCAATATCAATGACAAGATCCTCTGAGGCAGATGCTAACATTTTGCCATCATTACTGAAACTGAGGGTTCTCACAGGCCATTCTAGTCTGCAAAGAAAAATATATTATATATTATGCTTCCCTTGAAAAGCTATTGTCTTTGATACATACAAATCAACATGGATTTGATTCATCTGTATAAATATAGTCTGGAGCATCTTCAAGTTCAAAGAACATCAACTTTTCATATTTATAAATGAAAAAAAAAAAGTTTCGAAGTTTATATCCAAATACACTTTCTCACAAAATCTTTCAGACATTACACCTTTTATGAGAAGGTACACATTGAACTTTTCATACAAACACTTTTTCCCTAGGCTCTACGGCTACAAAAAATTTCTGAGAAATCTGATTCCTTGACATTACGAAGAGAGAGCATGAAATTAAAGACTAACAAGGTGAAAAAATGCGTAAAATAAATGTAGTAACATGATCACTGGGAGACAAGCTCACCAGAGAAGAGAGCTGAGGGCTATGACTGTAAATGCCAGGCCTGACACTTGAAGAAGATGGAGAAACAGTAAAAAAAAAAAAAAAAAGGCCCTACACTACAAACGGCTAATATAGTCTCACTCACCTGGAGAACGTACGCATACAGACAAGTTCCGGAACACTCCATAAACTGACCAGGGCATCAGCACTACCGATGGCAAAGTACTGTCCGGTTGGGTCAAACTCGATACATATGCAGTTGGCTGGATGAGCATTGAGGACATGCTGCGTCTTTAATTCTGGGTAACTGCAGACACATCGAAGACAAGATTGTATAACACTGTTAAACACTGGAATACTACATCTTTAAAGGAAATAATGGTGGAAAAGACAACCAAAAATAAACAGACACATGGAGGAACAAACTCCGTTTCTTTCCCTCTGTTTCCCTCTCTTTTGTCAGGAATTAATATTACATGCTATTGTAACACTGTCCCAGGCTCTCCTAAACACCTCTCATTCAGGCTTCTTGTCTTCTTCCTCAAACGTCAACATTCTACTGCATTAACACTTTGCAGTCAAACAGCCAGCACTCAGCAGTACAAAATACCCCATCTGGTCACCCAGCCAGGAGAGTGACTGCAACAGACTTAGCTGGCGCAGAATTGCACCAGGTGACCAGAACGGATAATTCTCACCGGCGCATTATTGCGCCAAGTGACCGTAAGGGGTTAACACTCAAAGTGTCAAGACATCAGGGTCACGGCTGTGGTATATATAAAAGAAGCAGTCTGTACTCCATGTTCATTATTTGATAACCGTGATTTTATTTTAAGAAGCTGACAAAAAAATCTATAAATGAAAGAGTATAAAAATGCTATTTTACTTTCCAAACCCATATAACTATACATTTCTGGAAAGCTTATAACCTGTAGAATATGCTGAAAAGGGGTCTTATATTTATGAGAAATAAGCTGGGGGATATAGCCACACATTTGTAAACAAGAACAATTTGCCATTCATCGTCAGTGTGATAAGGTCAAGGTCACCAAAACATTTATTGTTACCGGCAGTAATGTAAAAACATTCTTCAACTTATAAGCTTTCAAAAAATGTATAGTTATCAGTACCATATTTGATGTATTCTATTGCTATTCTTTATTCTGGCATTTACCAGTAAAAGGTAAATATCATTTTAGTCGAAGGTAAATTGTCTTCAAGACTGAAATATTTATCATATAATTTTTAACCTAAACCACTGAACAAAATAAAGCAGTGCCACGAACTGTTGCGAATGCAATTATCTCTTGTTTTGCACACTCTAATGACCTTATGCAATTGTGAGCTCGGTGAAACTCAAAACTCAAAAACCTTAAATTAGCCTTGACATCACAGCATATCGTCGGCCTTGTGATAAAACCGGCTAACCCCAGCGAGGTAAATTTTACAGGAGAAGGAAAAAACTGTTTTATTTCAAAACAAAGGTGTCTAACGATAAATCAATGCTTTGAACAGTTATAAAAACACTTTACCGAAAAACTGTAGACCTTTTTTTTCTTAAAAAATCGCTTTTAATGAAACTGCGTGGGTTAGACGGTTATGTCGCTCAAATTTTCC